TCTGCAGAAATGAACACTTCTCAGAAGAAGGTTCTTTCAGTAGACTAGAACTCTCTTTCATTTGGGGGATAATAAGTTACAGATGTGTTCTACATTCAATCATTTATCACTGTGGAGTTGAAGTAATAGATCTTGGTAACATTTTATGTTCGACATTTCATATCTATAGTATTAGAAATAGTGTATGATGTTGAATATCATAATGCTTTGCAACTTATTTAGGTATTGTGAATACATCTTTTAAAAAAGCAGCAAATTCCAGGGATTTTCATTTTGTTTCCACACTGAATATATAAACTCTTTGGTAATTAAAATATAAAAATGATAGTATATAAATATTTTGAAGCAGTCCTGGCATCAAGGTATATTGGAAATAAATCATTGCTGATCTCTTGAGAGTGAAAATTGGAATTTGTTCTTCATCTAGACATCTTTCACCTGCATGAGTAAATTATTAGGCAGCAGGAAAAATTTAATCTAGTTTAACCTGCTTTTTCTATGAAGCGACTGAGCTCCAAAACTTTCAAAAACTTTATATACCACCCTCGATCCCTCTAATTTCTCATACTACCCACCCATTTCCAAAAGTCCTGGAACCCATTGTTGCAGCTCAATTTTGGCCACACTTTGGGACCGCACTCGCATGATTGGAGTCCTACTTAATCAACTGCCTCCACTGCATCTCAACAAATGTTATTTCCTTCCCTGCCCCCCCCAGTCACCAGTGGGTACCCCAGGGCTCCATCCTTGGCCCTCTTCTTTTCCTCATCTATATGCTCCCTCTTGGCGATGTCATTCACAGACAAGGGATAAACTTCCACATGTATGCAGATGACACACAAATCTACTTTGCCTCTTCCTGCATCGATTCCAGGTCTGCCAATGTTCTATCAGCTTGTCTGGCAGACATCAGGGCCTGGATGAGTGCAAACTTCCTGCAGTTGAATGTGGACAAGACGAAAGCCATATCCTTCGGCTCCTGTCAACGTCTTCACTCCTGCAGATCTGAACTCCTCAATCTCCCTGGACTCTCCCTCAGACTCACCAAACCAGTGTGCAATCTCGGCATCTGGTTCGACTGCCAGCTGTTCTTCCTCCCCCACATCCAGTCCCTGACCAGTACCGCCTTCCTCCACCTCCGCCATATTGCCCACCTCTGACTATACCTTACCCCAAATGCAGCCAAAACCCTTGTGTATGCGTTTTTCACCTCCCGCCTGGATTACTCAAACGCACTCCTTGCTGGTCCCCCAGCTCCACTATTCAATAAATCCAGCTCATTCAGAACTCTGCCGCCCGTATACTTACCCGGACCAAACTCTGTACCCCTTATCACCAGTTCTGACCAGGCTTCACTGGCTTCCCATCACCGAACAGATCAATTTCACGATCCTCGTGTTCAAATCCATTCACTACATGGCACCTCGCTACGTGTCCAACCTCCTCACTAACCAAACCACCACCCGCCACCTCCGCTCGACTGTCACCAGCCTCCTGCTTGTCCCTCGCACCATCCGCTCTACCACTGAATGTCGCGCTTTCAGCCACTACGCCCTGAAGCTCCAGAAATGTTCTTGCACAGCCTCTCCCCTTTTTCAATTCCCACCCAAAAACCTTCCTTTTCAACTGTGCTTATGGCCACATCCCCCACCCCACCCAGCTCAGAGTCAAGCTCCGCCACTGTTAGGCGCTCCGAGACGCTCCTCTGCGTGGAGGGCACTATATAAGTGCAAGTTGTTGTTGTATTTATATACTACTAGCGCGACCCGTTGCAGCTACGCTTGCAACCGAAGGATCCAATATGGAATGTATTTCAGTGATACCACTCACAAATAATTTAACATGCCATAAACACTGTGTGTACACCTAAGGTACTGCCATACATGTGTGATGAGCTTGTTTAGGTCATAGCTCATCAACGATAGGAAATTCTCCCCAAAATATGCCCATGACACTCACCTTTGTAAGACTGTTCCAATGAGGTATAAATCATTTCTCTACGTCAATCGGTTATTGCGTTATTGGTGGTCACAGAGATACTCAGTTCATCTTTATTAATAGAAGATAGTGCCTTTGACAGGGGTTTGCAGGGGTTGCAAACAGGTTTATTGTCAAAAAGACAAGAGGAAGGAGCCATAGAACTGGAAAAGTATTTAGTCTAATTGAAAACAAAGTCAGATGTGAATGGATGGAGTCTGCTGTCAATCAATTCTGATTTTACACCTCCCATCTCCTTTCCCTCCCTTGCTTCTTCCCTGTTCCTCTGCTGTCTCACTGATCGACAGCCTGGAGTCACTGGTGAATGGATGGAGTCTGAATGGAACTGCTCGGGTCTGAATCGCACAGAAGGCAACCACCAGCGCGGCATTTTGTACAGATTAACTTTTTTTTGTCCAAATTAACTGGTATATTTAAAATAGGTGACAATTCAAATTAATCGGGGCTGGGCATATTGTCTGATTGACCCCCGAGGTCAACTGGCGTCTGCCTTAAGCGACTGCCACATATGTCCATTTCCCTTTTTAAAGATCTTTTGGCTTCAACCATTATCCAGGGCTTGGAATCCACTTTGATTAGCTTGCAGAGAGATAAGCAGCTGGTGCTTAAGCTCCATACTTTCAACTAGTAGAACCATCGCTTAGTGGGAAATGTATCCGAGCTGTGGGCACAAAGATGATGGCAATGCGCTCACGCATTTTATGCTGAGCTGTGTTATCTACTGGGAAGCTCACAGTGAGTTCCTGGTACCTGCCATCCATCATGTGAGGGGTCAAAGCCATGCTTGTCGGATGTCAACCAACTTGCGACTAACCTCTTGGGGGGTGAGAAGGGAAAGAGGTAAGCGGGATCTCCCTGGAGCTGAACTGGCTCCAAGATGATGTGTTTGGCAACGGAAGAGCAGAATCGAGCCACCTTCTCTGGCAGTCTAGGTTGCTGAGCCAGGTGGGGCCACAGTATTCCAGGGCACTTTTGATGACTGGACAACCAGCCTGGCTCACTGGAGGACTTGAAAGCACAGACCAGTCACTGAGGGCTCCAGTTAACCCTGCAAGCCGAAGCCCTAATGAGTAGGGTGGTCCTACTGATCCCAATCCCCATCTCAGGTGTACATCCTTGACTGTCCAGCGCTTTGGGACAATCTCCCGACGTGAAAAGCGCTATATACCAATGCAATTTATTGTTATTGTTATTTGGTCACTCAATCAATTGGCTGCCGTGTTTCACCCACAAAATATACAGTCAATTCACTTTACAGTATATTCTATGAAGCACTTTGAGACATCTCGAAGATGTGATATCAAATTCAAGGATTATTATTTTTATTATTATTACTTTCTAGAAGCAGTTTGCATCGGAGAGAGGGTGCAGTCCATTCCAATAAACATCTCTGGAATTTCCACGTGTAGGTGGGATGCATAGAATTTTCTGTTTGGTTTCGAGACTCTTAAGAATCAAATGTGTCAGACACCTGGCTGACCAAAAAAACACCATCAGTTTTAGTTGGGCATTCCATTTCCTAATATCCCTTGTTCAAAAGATTCTCTTGGCCTCTTTCTTTGTATTTTTGGTAATCGTCATAAATTTACACCTTCTAGTTATTCAGTCAAATTATTTATTTAATAAATTAAAATCAACTCATCAAAATGTCTCAGTTTTAAACCCCTACATCAGACCTTTCTCCATTCCTGTGAAAATAGCTCTAATTTCTTTAGTTTCTCTTCATGACAAAAGCATCTGACTTATGGTATTATTCTAATGAATCTCCTCTGTACTCTTTCCACAATGTTGACATCCTTTGCAAAGTGGAGCGCTCAAATCTGCACACAATATTCTAATTGCAGGCTAAATCAATAATTTTGCACTGTCTGCAACAAATCCTCCAGCATTAGGCTATTTTCTGACGTATGTTATGGGCAGAAGTTGCATGGGTCCTGGAGCAGTTCCATTAAGATTAAGAGTGGATTCTTTAGACTACATTGGAAACCTTCTAGCCCTGCAAAGCAACAGTGAAGGCAAGGGCACAGAATTTTTAAGTCAGACAGCTCCACTAAAGCTCTCAAAGTGGAGCACAAAATCTAACCAACTAAACTCGACAGATAATGGAAAAGTACATTTTGGAATGGGTGGACCTGGCAAATCTCCATGCCTGAGTGGACAATTTAACATTTTGCATACTTTTTGTTTCATAGAATGTTACGGCACAGAAGGAGGCCATTCGGCCCATCGAGTCTGTGCCGGCTGTTTGACAGAGCAAGTCACTTTCACTAACCCCAATCACCAACTTTCTCCCCATAACCCTGCAAACCCGTCTTCCCCAGATACCTATCCAGTTCGCTCTTAAAAGCTGTTACCGAATCGGACTTCACTGCCCTTTCAGGCAAATCATTCCAAATTCCAACAACTCACTGAGTGAAAACATTTCTTCTAATCTCCCCTCTGCTTCTTTTGGTAGATATCTTAAGACTGTGACCACGGGTCACAGACACACCTACCAGCGGAAACAGCTTTTCCCTATCTGTCCTGTCGAAACCTTTCATGATCTTGAAGACCTCTATTAGGTCCCATTGTAACATTGTTACATAAATATTGTGATGTCACCCAAGATGTTTGTTCACAAACTGCTAACCAAATAACAGTAGCAGAATTGGAATAAAAAAGCTGTTTATTTGATTACTTGATGCTCTTCATCTAATTTCATGCAAATATTTTTCCAGTTTATGGCCTCCATTGTAATATAAACATCGCAAGGATCACGTACTGAAAACAAAGTTCTTGAGAAACATTTTTATATTTTTAATTAATAATGCTACTTTGCATAGAACTATAGGTACTAATTTAATATTAGGGATAGTACAATCCAAAATTAAATTTGTAAAGCGCCTTTCATGTCGGGAGGATGTCCCAAATAAAAATAAGCAAAGAAATGTGAAGCTGGTTATATTTATAATTCTGGGACAGAAGCTACTTTTGTTCTCTGAAGAGCCGACTGAGATCCTTACCTGACTGCCCATGTGCAAAGTCGGTCCTTGATATTCTGCTTTTTTAACATATCTGGTTGCAGTCCAATCCAATGTGTGTGGTTTGTTACCATATTCTGTGGAACAAAACATATAATTCAGACACAAAAAGGCAATACAGCTTGTCAATAACAATTTTTCTCAGGGATGCAGATCAATAGTATGAATCATTATTTTTTGTTGGAACAGGCATTAAGTACATAACAGAGAAAGATTGGTTTCCTTGTATTATAAGCAGACCTGAAAGCAAACTTTAGTGAATTTAATAATGCTTGCATTTGGTATAGCACCCTACACTGTGGAGTCCTGTGGAATCAGTGGTCAGAGCACTCGCTTTGCAAGCGAGGCACCTGGGTTCAATTCCAGGCAGGGCAAAACCTTGGGCAAGTTTCCTTACTCCACACGCCTAATAATAATCCCTCCAAAACAAAACAATAACAAATTGATCATTTTCAATCCGCGATTGTTTGTGGGACACTGCCATGCGCAATTGGCTGCCGCGTTTCGCCCACAAACATACGGTCAATTCATTTTACAGCATATTCTGTGAAGCGCTTTGAGACGTCTAGAAGATGTGAAAAGCGCTATATCAAATACAAGGATTATTATAATATTATTACACATTGTTTAGACATCTCAAAGTGCTTCACAGGATTTTTTGTAAAGTGTAGGAGCTATACTTGTAGGGTGGATTCAACGGCCAATTTGTGCAAAAGTCCATTAAACAGTCATTAAGTGGGAGATTACTGCAATGAGACTGGGAGAAGCAATAACTTGAACTTATGTAACACCTTTTACCAAATGGGCAAAATGGAGCAAAAGAGCCAGGAAGTTCCAGAGATTCTGAGCGTAGTGGCTGACTGTGTAATCATCTTTCTGCATAGAGTCATAAGATCTTTAACATCCACCTGTATCGGCAGACAGGACCTCGGTTTAATGTCTCATCTGAACCACTTCACTTAAACAATACTTTATCTCCCCTTCACAATGGATGTTTTTCATTTCAAATTCAAAACAAACACAAATAGCATTCATATTTTAATGAACTCTTCGAAGGCAATATAATACCAATGGTCTCCTGATCAGCTGGATGTTGATATACACAGATTTGCTGCCGCACCATAAATGTTAAATGACAACAATATTGTGCTGAAAAGACGTATTCTGTATTGTAATATGATATGCAAGGGCAGAATTTCAGCAGAAAGTTGTAGTGGTTGCCAAGGCTACTCAAACTGATTGAAGCAGTGAGCAGTGAAAACGGATGAGGCAGCAGTGTTTAGTTCTTCTCATTATGTTAATAAATTGTTCTGTGGATTAGCTCCCACTGCAAAATGTAATATTACTCGGGTTTAACAAGCAATAGTGTTTAACAAGAAAATTTACATATTCTAAATCACATTTAAAGCTGCAGTTCTGATTAAACAATCCACAAGTGAAATTTAAAAAACTTGAAATCAGCCAAACAATACTGTTTGTTTACTCAAGCTCAGCTCAACGTGCAATGATCAAAAACAGATATAATAATAATCCTTGCATTCGATATAGTGCCTTATCACATTGCTTCTACACTAAAAAAACATAAGGAAGAAAAACACAGCAATCAAAATTTATGACCTGAACAAAAACCATTAGAATGTTTAAAACACCTGGGTTACAAAGTGAAGGTTTTATCAGGACTATTTTGGAAAAAATTACCATCAATTAGCTACCTCACAAAATATATTAGGTCTAAAGTGGAAGGAAATACAGTGGCAGTAGTAGAGTCAATTTTAATATACAGTAATGTACTCTCCACTAATTGTAATAAAGGTAATTAAAGAAAAATACCTTCTACTCATGGAAGGCATGTGGAGATTTATTACTTTTTCTTCCCTATGGAGATGTACCATTTTAAATCTCCCTTCTCTGTCGGGAGCGAGTCAACCCACATCAGCCAAACAAACTTCAGCAATCAATCTCATAGTAAATCCCACAGTTCATATAGCCTTAATGCTAATTTGAAGAGAACCAAGATAGAAACACTAAGCTTCACCAAAGTGAAGAGTACCCAGCTCAAACAACTCTTGATCAGGATCTTGTTTTGAAAGGATACTGCTCTCCAGAATTTCTACTTGCCGATGCTCCAACAAGTGAGTGGCATCCTACAAGACCTAGTTTCACGTAATACTAATTTGTTAAGTTGTTGAAATGTCTTAAAAGCATTTACAGGGTTTACTGTTAAGTTTAATCACTATTTAACCATCCACAAGGTACAAAAATCTACTGCCAGGAACATCACCTGCACCAAACTCTACATCCCAATACTAACCAGGCTCCCTCTCTCTGAATAGATCAACTTCAAGGTCTTCACTGATGCATACAAATTCCTTCACGCTCCCAAACCAATTCTTTGATCGTCTTGGTGGCCAAACCATCGGTCGTTACGCTCCCAATGCTCTAGAACTCTCCCTCTATCCCTCCTCCTCACCTTTCTTATCAAATCCCACCTTGAAACCTACCTGTTTGGCCACGCCTCTGACCACATTCCCCCCACTTCCTTCTCGTTCAATGTCCAACCCGCAATAATAAAGAACTCCCAAATGTTATCCTACTTGAAAGGTGCTAAATTCAAGTTGTTGTATTTGTAGGAGCAAACAGCAGATAATTTGCGCACAGCAATGTCTCACAAACATGACCGATTTTATCTAGGAGAATAATGGCCAGAACACCAGAAAAGCACCTTTCTCTTTTTTTTAAAATAATGTCATCTTTAACCTGCAACTAAACAGGTAGACAGGACAAAGGTTTACTATCTCACCCTAAAGACAACACCTCCTACAGCGTAGCTCTTCCCAAGCACTGCTGGAGCAGAAGCCTAGACTGTGAACTCAAATTCCTGACATGCCTTCCTGGGGGAAAAAAAGTAAAAAATATTTGATTACTTCCTGCAAAGGTACGTGTTTGAAATTCACTTTACATTAGTCCGTTGGGAACCAGCGTACAGCACGTTTCTCTTCTTGTGTTTAATAAAGGGGGCAGGCTGCACATGACCAGTATAAATTGTGGTGTGAATCACTCTTTGAATCATGACGAGCCCTTCTCTGCAAATCACTTGGAGTGGTTTTATTAAATAAACCTGGTGCAAATTGAATTGGGCTTTGCTTTCCAATAGTCTGTCAGACGGTCAAGTTGACAAACAGCTCAGGAATGCTTCTGCATGTTATTAAAATGCAGGTATTGAGTCACATATTTATGTTACAAAACCAATACGATTTTGGAATACTTGAATTCTGAATTACTTGAGTCTCAGATTTGAAGCATCTCTAAATCTGGCTGCTAAATGGATCTAAGCAACTCATACTATCTCTGTGTGCAAAAAACGTTCCTGCCTCAACCTCAGCTCGGTGGCCGATTCACACCTCACTGCAATGCTGTTTCTCAATTCCCCATTACTTTTGCTTCTGCAGATAGAAAACAATGAAGAGTCCTGAAGTCCAAAAATAAAAGTTGCAAAACAATGTAAATGTCACCATGCTTGTATGAAGATAAGCTGTTAAATTTTTATCTCAAATGATTTTTCAAGTATCAACAATATCTGAGGTACGTCGGGAGGCGGATGTGAGGGATATTGCAAGAATACAAAGTGGATATCCTTGGGTAGAACAAAATGCCTGGGGAGGTGTTGGCCACATTTTTGACAATCTTAGGCAATGTATAAAAACTGTATGCAGTTACCATGCAGAGAAAGGCAGGTACACACAGGTGTTGGATTCAAAGTGAACATCAATTGGTATTCCCATAAAAAACATAGAGATCGTTGGTTTGAGAAATGGAACAATTCAAAAAAAAGTACAAGGATTGCTCTTCTGAGGTCTGAAATACATTATTAATTCAGAGCAGAGAGAGAATTCTATTCTGCATCAGGTTGTTCTGTGCCTGACCTGGGAATGTTTGAAGTTGGCATTGCGTATTCATGTGCAATAGTGTACCATTCCCAAGCACTGATATATCTGACCTTGATGAGCACCAAAATCAACTAAACAAGACAAAGAGAAAAACTGATAATCAGTCTAAAGAATTTCAATGAGCAAACCTTGATTGTATTTTATTCTTGGGGTCAATTGACTCTGACTTTTAGTTCTGTGCACAGTATTGCATAAACTAAATGCTGATCGAGAAAGTCAAATCCTGGGACTGATCTTACTATTTTCATCAGTGTTATCATCAATTCCAAATATTCATCTGTCTGCTACCATGTAAAACTCTGATTCAAAACAGAGTGCAATGCATTACTGGTAACCATTAAATGACTGTAAAGCTTAAATTTCACATTTTCTTCCTGTGCACTTGTCACTTCAACCATTTTATTCACCAAATTGTCATTCTATTTATGTTTAAGAAACTGGTTAAAATAAGTTATGGGGGATCACATTGTGAGATATTTATCTCCTGCAGTTAACACTACTTGACTCCCCACCAACTTCATTTAAAATAGTGTGTAATCATTGAGCTTGCTGGCGGTGCTTTGATTCTGTTGCTCATTGCGTTTTACTACCAGTTCACAGAATACCAACTTAACTTTTAAATCTTTTGAGCAAAGTTGGAAGAATGTCCCACAAAACGATAATTACCATCTGTGATATTTGTAACATTACATACTGCATTTTTCACTCCATATTACACAATATTGGTGAGAAATGTAAAGTCAGGTTGGGGCAGGAGAATTTTTTGGTGGAGTCGCACAAGAATCAATGCTCGTTTCTAACCTACATAAATGAGCGGTTACCAAAATCCAATTTTAATCTAATGGGTCAAAGCACGTTTGTTAGAAAGATCATGTCTGCAGCCACCCCACTCTGCACACAGCGAGCATAAACGAGAAGTTATACAATATTTAAGAAGTATCTTCCACCAATTAATCCCATCAAACAGAGTGAAACAAATTATTCAAAGCCAAAATCTTGGAGCTGCAATTTAAAAGAGACAGGCTGATTTTAAAAAAAGGCACATTGTAGGGAGTCATCTTCCTAAAGATTCAGGATACAGCAATATTTTTATAGAAAGGATCCATTTATGAAAATGCTGAAAAGGCCAATAGACTGAATTTGCTCAAATCTGCAGTTCGTCTAAATACTTATATTTGTTTAGTCAAATTGGACAAATTCAGTTTTTGTTTACTTAACCAAATCCCAGGTATAACCTTTCAAAAGTAGTGTGCCTAGTGCTTCTTTTTAACATTCATACTAATAACATTTTCTACTTACCTAAAGTGGTGCTGAAGGATGAATAACAATTTACACATACACATTAGGTCTAATTAAAACAAGTTAATAAACTATCCATTGATGCTACAAAGTGTACTTTCAATGTTTCTTTAATTATGTAATTAGCAACCAATAAAAAATATGCCAATTACATAATATGAAAACTCTTGCATTTGATATTTTGCCTTTCACATCAGAACTTCTCAAAAACCTTACATGCCTTTACTGTAAAGCGCTATGCATTTTGCAGGGGAAAGCGGCAGCCAAATTGCGCAAAGAAATGGCCCACAAACAACCATGAAACGAATGAACAATGTTATCTGAGGGGATTTTGGGGAACTTTCTTTTCAAATAGCATTTATAGGATCTTCAATGTATATCGAAACAGGCAGATGGGACCTTGGTTGAATGTTTTTTAAAGGACAGATAATGTTTAATTATTTTCAATGAATGTTCATTAAATAATTAGGGATCACTTGTAATTCCCTCTGTGCACATCATTTACACATAATACACCTGCATTTATACATGGCAAGTGAGAGTTCTCCAAAAAGATATATGGAAACCTTTATGTCCATTTGTCACAGAATATATCGTATTACAATATCTCTTATTTCACAGATGATCCAAAGAGCAAATGTATTGTGTATTGTGTAGCCATTTTCAAAGTAAGAATGATATGCTGAATTTACGATATTATGTTGCCAGAAGCAATCAGTGGCCGACAGTAATTTGCTTAAATTATTTGGTTCACTGAGGCTCAAATACTAACATTAAATTAACCTCTTGGGTTTTATTACTTATCTGTTCGATTAATTAACCACACTATGATGGAAAACATATTGCAACTAAACAATCTTTAAACATCATGTACATTATTAAGAGATTGGACACTTAAATTGTATACTTAAGAAAAAAATAGCAAAGAAAAAAATCACTGTTGAAGCTGTTGCATAAATATCAGCGATATTTTTTGTGTGAATTCCTTCCAGTATCATTATTTACTGCTTAATGTAGGAGGCAGCATAACACGGTGTTTACTTATTGTATTATGTTACCAGCATTCTTTATGATTTAATATATTATACAGAACAGAATGAACAGGCACCAGTGGTAATGAATTACAAAACATTATTCCAACCAAAGTTTAGGTAGTGCCATATGCCACAACAACAAATTACATTTGTGGAGTGCCTTTCACGGCAGGAGGGCATCCTAACTGCTATTACACTATTTTCTTCATCTTAAATCACAAAAATAAGATAATTCCCAGACTTCTCTTCCAGTATTTTTATATTATACATGGTTAACTTTTTAAAAAAAAACACATTAGAGGATACAGATGATATAAGGAGGCACAGTATTTGTGGCTCAAGATATCATAAAGGTAGTAATAATAATCATCTTTGCATCTGATATAGCGCCTTATCAGACCTTCGAGATATCTCAAAGCGCTTCACAGAAGGGAAGGTGGGTTCGGCCAAGGGAGGAAAAGATGTCTGAAAGGACGATAAAGAGGAAGCTCTTGAGGTGGGCCTTGAAGGTGCAGAGGGAAGGGGTGAGTCTAAAGGATCTAAGATGGAATTCTAGAGAGTGGAAGCAGATGCAGAAAGTCCGATCACCAAAGGTGTGACAGGTAGGGTAGGGACATGAAGCAGGTTTTGCCCGCTGAGTGGAGGAAGTGGTCGGTTTGTTAGGGATTGAGGAGATCGCTGATGTAGGGTGGTGTAAGACCATGGAAGAATTTATTTTATAATATTGTATTATATTGCAATAATAATAATCCTTCCATTTGATTTAGTGCTTTTCACGTCTTCTAGAAGTCTCAAAACACTTCACAGAATATACTGTAAAGTGAATTGACAGTATATTTGTGGGCAAAACACGGCAACCAATTGTATTATATTGAAGAACAATATCACTGTCATGTTGCCTTAACACATAGTGGAGTCCTGTAGCTCAGTGGTTAGAGCACTTGCCTCGCAAGCGAGTACATGGGTTCGATTCCCGGCAGGGCGAAATGTTAGGCAAGTTTCCTTACTCCATATGCCTCTGTTTACCTAGCAGTAAGTAGTATACAGTCAATTCACGTTACAATATATTCTGAAGTGCTTTGAGACGTCTCGAAGACGTGATTAGGTGCTATATCAAATGCAAGGATTATTATTATTTACCAGCTATAAAACATATTTTAACTTCAATTAAATAACTCCTTTTGTTTCTGCAATGTGAATAGGCTTGTTCTGTAAATCAGGGAAAAGACCGGAATGATTTGATTAAAGCCAGTAAAACAAGACTGTGAAGTAAGATACCAGGGGACAAACCTTTTAAGTTACAATTTTCCCAAAAAGACTGCTACAGATTCCTTCAAGAAAATCTCTTTCGTACAACTACAGCTGGAAATGTATTTTCCGACGATGAAAAGAGAAAGGGGATGAGAGGAAGGAAAGAAAAAATAACAATCAAGATTCAGCAAACCTGTGGCTCTTTCATTGATCTCATAGAAATTAAATGAAAAACATGTATAAATAGTGCTATAAAAATTAGCAACAAATTATTTGCATCATTTAAGTGATTTACTTGAATATGAAAAATTATATTGACGCCTGACCTACCTTCTTTATCTCTGAGACTCAAAGTAATGAATTTACTGACAAACAGCAACATGAAGACTGCCCATCCACACACAGCTAGCAACAAGGATCGGTGCCGCATGTTTTCAGACATAAGCCATCGCTCTCAAGTGTTCTGAAAATGAAAAAAGAATATCTTAAGATTAATTAGGGCAGCGATCCACATTCACCGTGTTAGTCTGCTGCAAATAAAAACAGCATTAAATCAGACTGACAAGAGATTAAAGCAGCCAAACCTACATTTGGAGCATCAAGCATGTCAGCCGTCTCAAATGAATGTTTTTTCAATTTAATTCATTCAAAAAAGCTTCAACAAAGAATAAGGATGTACTGGTAAAATTTGTAAGAACTTAAAGCTGAAATAAAGTTGCAAATTTCCACAAAACACAGAGCACTATAATTTTGTTTGCATTTTGTAAATTCAATTTCCAATAACAATTCCGATTCAGGGGAGTTTCCAACCTTGACCACTAGAGTGTTAGCAGGATACGCTGCACAATGCTCTTCTCATAGGGTGTCAGCCTGGCTCAGCCGATAGCACTTTTACAAAAGACTGGGTTCAAGTCTCACATTAATATCGTATTTTGAACTATCAGATATAGGCTGACACTCCAATATAGTGATGGAGACAACTGAATTGTTGGTGTCGACTTTCAGATAGAGGTCCCACCTGCCTGTTGAGGTGAATGTTAAAGATCTCATAGCACTGTTTGAGGAAAAGTGAGTTTCTCCCAGTTTACTAGCCAACAATTCCATCAAATAAAATTGTTCCTTCATTTCATGGCTGTTTGTGGGACATCAACACGCGTAAATTGGCTGCCTCGATTGCCTACAAATGCAGTCACAGTATTTCACATAAAATCCTGTAAAACGCTTTAGAGACATCGACGACATGAAGGTGCTACATCAAAAACAAGGATCAATTATTTATTATTAATATGGGAACCAGGACACTTGTGCAAACATTCTCCTTGATCCCACAGAAAAATTCACTGTCCAGAAAGCTAAATGCAAAAAAAAAGTGGAAGTGAGCATATACAACCACACCTTTTAGTATATTACTAGGTTTACGTGCAAGCTTCTTATTCTGTTAAATCTATTTTGTAAATCAAAACAGGTGGTGCAGCTCGACAAGAGTACTGATTCACAGCACCAGAACAGATCATTCCTTGAAGTCAGCAATCGCCCAAACTCATTGGATTCCAAATCTAAGCCTGCTGCTGCAGGGAAATATCAAGCAGAGGGAAGAAGAAAGAATTGGTGCTACAATCACCCTAGGTTGTCAGGTTGTTCTTATGCATTCCCCTAGTACCTGCTGATTTCAGTGAGATATTGGCAGATACCTGCAAGCTGAATGTCAGTCAACCAGGGAGTGTGGTGCAAGCCACAGGGGAGAAAGTTCAAAAAGAATAAAAAGGAAAGTTTAATCTCGCGGAACATAAAGTTAAGTTTTAAAGTGAGTAAATTTATTAAGAGGTGATTACTTTGGCCGATTGAAAGATTTAACTACAATTTGGAAAAGACAGTGTTTGCTGCTCGTTATTATAAATTGCACCTATCAAAAACATATTGCACCGTTAGCTCACAACCACAAAATCCCCCAGGTCAAGCTTTTACATCACATCTTAAGTGAAATTAAAATCTGAGGACAACACTCTACATTTCACTCATTGGAACAGCCCTAAGTGGTAGGGTGGTCCTCGCTGGACAAGCAGTAGGAAAGCTTGCCAGACAATGACAAGCTATGTAGTTTCAGCTGGTTAGTCAAGCAGTACCTTAACGCACAATCTGGGGACCCAAAGTCTTGGCTCTTGCCAACCTACACCTAATACTTTCCGGAATTAGGTAAACAGGATGCATCCTTCCAGGGAATGAGTGCACATTCCAACAATCTATGTCTGGAATTTCCACGTGTAGGTGGGATTCATGGAAATCTTAGCTTGGTTCGGATACTTTTAAACATGGTGATGGGTTTCCGCATGTGTCAGACACGTGGCTGACCAAAATTGTATTGTATTGTAACGAGGTTGTTGAACGAATGTAACCTTTCTGCCTTATTAAGTATACAAGCTTTAAAATATAAAATACAAGAGACTTTGGTTGCTCTGTTCACGGATTCCTAATATAAATTTTCAGCTAACAGAATAAACTGGTCTTTTCAAACCTTTGTTCCAGGCAACAAGTGTGGTTTACTCCACTACTAACCATGCCTTTGAACCCAACAGGCTGATTTATCAAATTTTGATTTCCTTTACTGGTTACACTGAGTTTAAAACAAAGACTTCGATACAATTTGTGAGAATAAGGCTTGACTACAGTATTATATTTTTTCCACCTCATGTGCATAAAAATTGTGTTTAGGTTTCTTTACATTATTTTAATGCTTTAGATGCATATAATTAATTTTTTTTACTCCAGATGGAAAATACTTCACTCGTTGTAAATAAAGGCCAATAGTAAGTTATGCTGTCAGCTTGTCATGAAGATATTTATGTCACACTCAAATACAGCCTCTAAATATTCACAATTATTACTAAAGATAAAATCTAATGTGTTAAAAGCTTTGTGTAATTAAGTTATCATGTAAGAATATCCTTACTTTCAATAATTCACTTGTTTAAGTTCTTTATCTCTAACCTCATAGGGCAAAATCCACCTGGGGCTTGACTGACTTATTCCTTAGCATTTTCGAGTGTGGAAATTTGGGAAAATTCTTAAATTCAGTCTTAATTTTTGAAGCCAGTTTTATGCAGGTTCTTTTAGCAATTTTTTTTTATGGTTAACAGGAACTGAGTTGCTCCCAATACTGGTTTGCCTTTCCAAGTCCTGCGGTGTGTGTGTGCTCATCCTGTGCTGTCATCACCAGTGCCCTGATATATTGCGGATCACCTGGCTCTGGAACTGGACGACTGAGACTGCCACAGAGGGCTGGCCCGATTCTGACATTCTGTTGCCAAACATGTCACCTTGGAGCCAGTTCAGCTCCAAGGAGACCTTTCTTACCTGCCCACCAAGGAGGATAAAATCTAAGTCAAGATCCAGTTTGAATTTCTCCCCTATTGTTAACATTGAAATTGCACACTTAACACACATTCATATTATTGCAGTATCAACCAGCCAAGTACAGCGTTCCCCAGGATAGGGTTGATTACATACTAGCCAGACTGACTCTTTGGGATTCTTCCCACTAAGCTCCCGTTAACCCCAACACACTCTTTAGGGTACCCACAAGATAAGACCCGCCACATCCTGTGTCTGATATTCTCCCCCAGGGAGAGTGTGTATTCCATTCCTGACACAGGGAAATTTCCATGCAAAGATGGCATACATATGTGGAATTCTCAGTCTGGTTTGAATACTATCAAACATGATGGTGATGGGTTTCCATATATGTGAAGCATCCCATGAACAATAAAAAATGCTTTGTCCTTCCAAAAGACCGTTTATACGTCATTTGCAATTCGCACCATCATAAACTTAATTCCGATTTAATCTCTTAACAGAAGCAAATAACTAGAAGTAAAATTTCCAAGGCTAAAACTGAAATTTCTCCAACTGAACTTCTATCTAATGACATTCCAAAATATCAGTCTCACATTATTCATCCATTAATTATTCACAGGTGATATTTCTGGGGTCCCAGCAGGTATTCTGGGCCTTCACAGAGCAATTATCTTTCAGCGCTTATTCTTCTAGCCTTCAATCCTGATATTAAACAAATATTCACTGAGCCTTTTTACATAAATTTTGAATGGGAATTTATTCAATATAATATAAACGACTCTGAGGGAAAAAATCTAATCTTTAGTCTTCTTTAAGCCTTGTTAATTTTGTATTCATGTGTTCATGTTCTCTGACTACAACTTAAAATAGCCAGCTTACACATACAAGACTCTCCCTAGAATCTAAAGTATAGATTTTCACAAAAGGAGAAAGTTAAATTCTATTAAAACAAATCCTTGTAACTTACATTTTAAGAATCAGCCTGGTTTCTCTTCTCTGCATCTTTTTCAAATCCTCAATATGCATTTCAACAACAACATTACATTTGTATAGATTTTTCACGTCGGGAGGATGTCCCAAGGCGCTGGACAGAGTACAACATTTCATACCCGAGTTGGGGTCGGTTAGGGGGAAGGGAGGGGAGGGGAAGAGGGGTGGCCAATGGCATGGTCGAAGAGGAGGGTCTTGAGCGGGACTTGAAGGAGGCTAATGAGGGGTCGAGGCGGAGTGACGGGGGATGGAATTCCAGAGGTTGGGGGCAGAGTGGCTGAAGGCTCTCCCGCTAATGGTGGGGTGGGTGGGTTAGGGGACGTGGAGCAGGCCACAGCCGGCTGAACGGAGGGAACGGGCGGGTTGGTAGGGGCTTAGGAGTTCGCAGAGGTAGGGTGAGGACATGGAGGGCTTTGTATGTGAGGACCAGGATCTTGAACTGGATCCTCTGAAGGATAGGGAGCCAATGGAGTCGGGTGAGAGTGGGGGAAATGGGGCATGGAGTTTGGTGCGGGAGAGGACATGGGCTGCAGAGTTCTGGATTCTCTGCAGCCTGTGGAGGGAGGAGTTGGGAAGGCCAACAAGCAGGACATTTGCATAGTCGAGCCTGGAGGTGATGAAGGCATGAACAAGAGTTTCAGAACAAGTTTCGAACAAGACACCTAGGTTCCTGACTGGCTTGGTGAGTCGTAGTGTGCAACCATGGAGGTTGATGCTGCCAAAGCCTGAGGTCCTGAGGCCCTGCGCGAGCCAATCAGGAGGGCCTCAGTCTTGTTCACATTCAACTGTAGGAAATTTGTCCTCATCCAGGACTTGATGTCCGACAGGCAGTCTGTCAGGACAGCAGTGGTCCTGGAGTTGAGGGTGGAGGCAGAAAGATAGAGTTGGGTGTCATCCGCATACATGTGGAAGTTGACCCCATGTCTGCGGATGATGTCACCAAGGGGGAGCATGTAGATATTAAAGAGGAGAGGGCCAAGGACAGAGCCTTGGGGACACCAGAGGTGACAGTGCGGGGGCTGGAGGAGAAACCGTTAGAGGCAACAAAGTGGAGATGGTGAGAGAGATAGGAATCGAACCAGGCAAGGGCAGATCCGTGAAGATTGAGTAAAGCGGAGAGGC